CTAATCAGTAGATCTCAGAGTCAGAGCTCTTATCACTGGTTTTGGTTGACAGTCAACAGTACAAAGGAGTTGTGTTTTGGGCTGTGCGGGTGTGTCAGACAGGGCATGGGTGTAGCAGCAGATACTCTACACCATAGGTATTTAACATGGAGACATTCTCAATATATATCGCCACCTGAAAACCCACATGCCACTGCAGGTATGTGTGCATCCTTATTGCAAACTGTGATGTCACCAGGCTGATAAAAACAAACAAAAAAAACATATGAGACGTGTGCTCTCTCCATCATGTCATTGTCTAAGGTCCTGGCTCTGCTCCAGCCTCCCACTGCAGGTTAGTCTTTGCAGTAGAGTCAGATATTACCTCTGAGACGGTTGTGTGGTATGAATGCCAGTCAACCATGCATCCAACTAAACATTTTCACTGTTTGAAGCATCACATATTATTGTCCCATCGTTTTTATGTTGGGATATGATGTAAGGTTTTAAACGGATTAAAGGATTTAGAGATGCATAGTATGAAGTAATGACTCTGCAAGTCTTTAACATGACATGTATGTTGTATTTCAGAAGCCACATACAACAAATGTCATTTTTGCTGAAAATGTTGATTTTGCCAAATACTTAATTTTAATTACAGGAATATCTTTGAAGTCTGAAGATTTGATTTCCCTTTTTGACAAAGACCCAAATAATGGCATAGCCTGATCTACTTTCTTCAAGTGCTGTACCCAGCCTCTGAACTCTGACACAGTCTGGGATTTTTATGCTTCCCTCTGGCCACAACTGTTTCCCTTTCCTCTTCCCATTTGCAAAAACAAGCCAAAAGAGGAGCTCAAAATAGTTTTCTCTTCATTTTCTCCTTTAACACGAAGTAATAGTCATTTTCAGATGTCTTGAAAGACAATAGTATTGTTGTGAGCTGCACAACCTGTCATGTGTGTCCTCTGAAGGAAATTAAGATAAACTTCAAGCACAGTCTGTTAGTTTTGCATTGTAGACAATTGTGTGAATTATTACATATCCACACCCAGGGATATTCAAACACATTACTTACCTTTTTGTGTGAATTATTACATATCCACACCCAGGAATATTCAAACACATTACTTACCTTCTTAAGAGGGACATTTGATTTTTATTTTCACCTTCACCTCTTCTGTGGGGGTCTCCTGTGTTGTTCCTTATGGTCGTTCAGTTATTGTACAGTGAATGGCTGCAGTTCTGTTAGTCTCGTTGCTGTGGTCTGCAGGCTGGCACTCTTCTGCCCATTAGGATAAAGTGGTGGACGCTGGCGCTGCATTTTTAGGCACTCAGTCTGTCTGAGGCTGTGATGCTGGACTCGACGCACTGCAATTATGCAAGGTGTAACTCAGCACTTCCAATGTTTGTGCTTTGAGTGACGGTTTTATCCAGAAATGTTCATAATGTATGTTTGTGACTGCTTAATTGTGTGTATTTACTGTATGATGTTGTATTTACTTCACGTGGTTCATCTGAAGTGTGTCTGTGTGTAACAGCTGCCAGCCTGTATATTTTGCCCTCTTTAGTTAATGATCCAGCTCTATCTGAGGTCTACCAAAAGCACCCAGCTGTGGTGTGTTTGTTTGTGAAGGACAGAGCACGAGAGAAATTTTTCTTCAGACGTACTTGTGCTCTCGACTTTTGGAGTGAAAGCACAAAATGGGGCCCACTCCACATTCAGATTTTCCTAAAATACGTCATGTTAATGTCACTGCAGAAGTGAAGGATTTGTTCAAAGAAGACTCCTCATTGTTATCATTTGCTCTGCCTCTTTTTGTATGAGGAAAATTGATCCTTGTTTGGACGATTTGTTTGCATTTCACACAGTTCAGGGGTGTGACTATCGGAGGGAAGGCGAGGTGTAGGATCAGTGTCCATCTGGCCTCGGCTCACCCTGCCCAGTCACAGTCATGGTAACTGATCAGGCCCTCGGGCTCTCCAGCATTACATCGACTTTCTGCCTGCCAATTGGCTACTGCACAGGAGAGTGGCTGCTGGCTGGCTTTACTATAGGAAAACTGATGTCAGCCTTGGCTAGTCCTCACCCAACCATCTTTGACTTAGTTTAATTTAAGTTGCAGAAAATGCCGAGGGCTTTCAATTGGGAAAGTGTAAATAGAAAGGAGTGTTTCAGTTTCTCTCCATTCTGCTCAGTCAGCTCATTCAACTTTATTAGTTGGTTGACAGAAGAGAGCAACAGGAAATGTGGAAAAGCAGAATCAGACTGCACAGGATGAAGGTCCTTGGCAAGAAACAAGCATGCTTGGTCTAAATCAGTTTTATTACCAGGGGTTTGACGTCCATTTTTATACCTTGCATTAATTTCAAGCAGTTCACATGCAGCCAGTCGTCTAACTTTTGTCACATGTTCCTTACACGGGGGCATTAGCCGCTGCTAAATATTCTGTGAACAGATATGTTGACAAGTCATTAGGGAATATTAACTATGGCGATAGTTAAATGGCACAGGACATGCATGATGATTTAAAAAGAGATGTTGATGTGCAACATCCTTGTCTTGTCAATATATCGTCGTGCCTATAGTATCATAGTATATATCACGGTACGTATCATATTGCCAAATTCTTGCCAGTAAACACCCCTACCCTGGGTAGATGGGTGGAGTTACCCATGCCAGCTGTCTGCACTTTCCATTGCACCAATAAAGACAATCCAAACCCACCCCCACCATCAGCAT